GGACGCTGTATTAAAGCTCATTTTTAGTCAAATACAGTACAAACTTTATTGACTTTATCTTCGGTTAGAAGATTTCAGTACATGTTTTGTTACAGTTACATACATTTGAAGTTTCAGTTACAGTTGCAGTTAAAAGGACCTTGTTGCAACTTAAGTACAATTAAAGCGTTTGTTACCGTAAAAAAAAGTCTGCTAGGGTCTTTTCTTCGATAAAACATGTGTTTGTAACGTTTTTTCTGACAACCCGCTTAATACGGACACCCCGTTAATACGGACACTTGGGCAGGTCCCGTTGGTGTCCGTATTAATGGGGTTCCACTGTAATTGAGAAAAGGTTTTATTTCTTACATTACTTAATGTTCTATCACAAATATTTTGAAATACATTTTACATCTGAAGAGAGAGATTTTCTGGTATAATTATGTGATAGCAATAAAATAATGATGACTGTGTAGAAAGCAAGCTATTGGCCATTTATGTTTTGTTGTATGAAGAAATTTCAAACAGTTGTTTTCAAATAAAAGTACTAGAGCACAAATTAAGTATTTCAATTCCCTTTATCTTTAGGCATAGTTAAATTTTACCTTTTTCCCCCTTATCCCATACTTTTAATAACTCTAAATGCTATGCATGTCGCTTCCTCTACAAGAATTTTTTCTACTTATCACCACTTGCAGGATTTGTTTTTGGGAATTGTCACCCCACCTGCAGTTATTTCTAATGGTCCGTCTCTAATATCGAACACCATTACTTATATCCCACCCTTGTCATATTTGAAAAAGAAGGGGAGGGGCAAGTGCATCCTGACCTGTAATCACCCAAGCCCAGTCAGAATGTTGTTTTTGGGGATCTGGCGACAATCCATCACCAACTAGAGCGCAACAGGAGGTCAACAACATGCATGCTCTGCGATTTCACCGCTGATCTGGAGTAGACGAACCACCTACGATCCAGTCTATATTCTGCTCCTGCCTTTTGCCTCTTGTTTTTTTTATTCTGAGGCAAGATAAAACCAGACAATAAGGATGACTCAAGTCGGTCACCATCCTGATTCCTTCGTCCAGCAGCCTGACCCAGCTTACTTGTGCCCTATTTGGTGAGTTAATTATCAGTTCCTAGCTTGAATGCCAAAATGAAAGCTGTGGTTTTATTCTGATCGCATTTTTCTTATTTCTCTACCGCTCAGATACAATATAAGAAAAGGGATCCACAAATGCTAAGAATACCTATGCATATTGATGAGTTCAAATTGTGCAAAGGATCTTGCTGGTGAATGCAGTCGATGATATTTGATCTTCTGTAGGCAACCAATATATTCACACCTGAGGCAACTAACATTTAACTCCAGGCGAGAGAAAAAAATTCCCATGAAGGGAATACAGTTTACTAGAGGACACTGATGTTCTTTGTCACAAATCCAGCGTGAAACAGCTTACTTCTCATAACAGCAATTAAACGCATGCTATATTTAGGCAATGCTTTGTTCCGTTCCGTTCTGATAGTATCTTTTAATTTCCACCAACATTTCTACAGTTAAATGTGAGAACACTGTTTAGTGGTTTAGTGTGCTGTAAATATTTTTCCCAACTCCCGACTATTTTCTAGAGCTCCCACTTGTAGTTACAGGAACCAACTTTCCCTTGACGGTTCGAGTTATAGAAACTTTCTTGAGCAATACAGTGTGAATTTAAAAGAAGAATGAATGTGTTTATTAGTTTTCCACTAAATGGGTTTTAAAACTAATTACAATCAATACTAAATACATTAAAATTAAAAATCTAAAATTTCACTAGATGTTAAAATATATCACACTACTAATTAAAAACTACTGAAAAATTCCTTTAAATGTCTCTTGAAGATTGGCAAATTATCACATCCTCTTATTTCACATGGAAGAGAATTCCAGAAACTCGTTGCATGGTATAAAAATGTGTGTTGCCCAGAAGCTGACTTATAAGCTGGGATATTCAAGTTATTCTTATATCTAGTATTACGGTCATGAGTGCAATCACGTGTCTTTATGGGCCCCAGCAGGGATGGAACCTCCAAATTTTAAGTGATGGGGTGATCGAATGGAGGCAAACATCAAAACCCCAAAAAATTCCTACAACAAAAGTTAGCCCCCAATAAATCCCATGCCGAATTGCCAAGCCTTAAAAATTGCAGAATGCAATAAATAACAACAAACGATAAACTCTAGAAATTGAATGCTTGTGGGCACTCCAGATTGTTTTGAATCCCCCCCCCCCAATAAAAACCCTATGCCCAAATCAAGCCACCAATTTTCTACCTCCCAAAAATCCTGGATTCGAAAATTTCAAACTCAAATAAAGCCTCCATCTTTCCTATCACTTCACACCCAGAGTACTGTACAGTACCCCCCTCCTCCCCGGGATTTAGGAATGGATATTGGCTTTCATATTTTATCTTATTGATTCATTACACTTGCGTGATGGTTAGATGGTTTTCTCCCTCATTTTCTTTTCTTTGGCAAAGAAGAAAAACCGGAAATTGCACGTCTGTGGAACCTTGATTGCAGTGCTTTTAGCTCTAATTTGGAAGGGGTAGCAGGGTATTTATCCCAAATTATGTCTTTCTCTTTCCTCTTACTGTCAATACATTATACGTAAAGCTGTGGCATGCAATCAGGGCCACCTCTTCTGCCGTACCTGCCTATGACAATGGATCAACATGTATGGACACAGAAACTGCCCTGTCGGAGGGCAGCCACTCCAAGCCTCTGACGTCAGAGGCATAATTACATTCGACAAGGTAGTCGATTCCCTTGAAGTATACTGTTCAAGAAGAACAGAAGGGTGTAATTGGACGGGTGCACTGAAGATTATCTCCAGTCATCAGCAGCACTGCCTCCACAAGCCCGTCCAATGCACCCGCTATGGCTGTTCACAGACGTTCCCTTGTGGTCAGATGCAAAGGCACCCCAGTGAATGCGACATGCGTCCCCAAGTTTGCGGGTACTGCAGAGTTACGCTGTCCTTCCGGCAGTATCATGACCACCAGGAGTTGGCATGCCGGAAGGCCCCTGTAATGTGCCTGCTCAATTCCAACCTGGTAAGTATAGTTCTCATGCAATCTCTTCTACTAGTAAGCGCAAAACCCCTCACAGATATTGTTAATATTAATTAATTTACTTTAAACGTTATCTCTAACCAGAAACAACAACAAGAAGACAAAAGACGTAAATAAAAGGAAATTCTCTCCTCCAGGGACCAATTAAACAGGCACACTGCCTCCGCATGTAACCATGCATTTGTTACCTGGCCATTTGCGGTGTGCAATGATGTCTTATGAAGAGAGGATCAAGCAAGACATGAAGCAGAAAACACAGTGAGCCACTTGCGTCCGTAAAGTTACCGGGACTTTCGAGAAACAGGCCCCTGGCTGAATTTTCGCGTCCGAGGTCAGTTTGAAATCAAAATCTTGACAGTGCAGGGCCATAGTGAAATAAACACAACATATTTCATATGAATCATTGGAAAAAATAGACTTGAGCCTGCGATCATTTCAACTGGTAATTTGTCAGCGGATAACTTTTAAAAAGTACTCGACCTTGATGGGTCAACACTTGAGCCTGCAATATGGTCAGGTGATACTGATCAGCAGATCTCCTGTTGTGGCAGCTGTCAATTAATCACAACATTTATTTGCAATTAGTTTTCTCTTGGGCTCCCAAACTAGCTAGAAAGTGAGAGTAAACATTGGTTTCCATGTGGTGCGGACGGACGGTCAGGTGTATGGTCACATGATTACCAAATTTTCTTGGATGGGTAGATTACCACAATTCCTTAGGTATGGGGCTCCATCCACATGCGTGCTTTTCGCGCGGGTGGAGCTCCGCTAATAGCAATAGAAATATTTGATTGCCTCAATTATTTAACTGCAAGAGTTTCACACAGTTTCTACAACTCAGGGTGTAAATGAACATTTCATCCATTACACTTCAGGTGACACCACCCATGATGCCGGGAAGAGTGGTGACGTTCCAATGGAACATCACAGGTTTTGAGGGGCAGTCAAACTCCGTAGGTTAGGCGGTGGGCATAAAGAGCCCTTTGTTTGCAGGCCACTTCAGGGCGATTATAGTGCCCAAGATGTCCACTGCCGGGAACAAAGGGTTTTTCTTTGAAAACGCAGAAATGGATCCCGTGTTCCTCAACTTAAGGTAAATATTCTATGTACTGTAAAATTATGTAAAATATAAGATCGATTGTTTGAAAAATACTATCCATGGATAAAAATAACCAAATCTTTTTTTCTCACCCACCAGCACAACCCTCTGCCAAGGAAGTGACGCCTTCGCCCGCTGATCGTCTTTGCCGAGGTGGCTCCTTCAATCTGCGCCGCTAGGCTGGGAGGATTTCCTCCCCCTGGACGAGGTCAGGAGTCGTTATTTAGACAAGAATAGAACCCTTAGTATTCAAATAAGCTACCAGTTATTTACTTGAGTAGGAGGGGCTCCATTCTCGTCCAAGTAGGTTAGGTTCCGGAACACCCGGGAATTCTTCAGAATCAGTGGAGGTATACCGCCCGGTTGTCCAAATCCTGATCCTATTTCAGACCAAAATATGTAATTTTCCACACCCGTCATTCTCAGACCTGGCTTCTGAAAGATATACTCAATTCTTGAACGCCTTTATCTTGTTTAGTATCTGACACTGAACATTAAAGAAAAAGACAGGAACTGTTCATAGCCTAGAGGTCCCCTTGATACCCATACCCTACTTCAGACCAAACTGCTGAAAATCCAAACACTTTGGGGTGGCACATACCTATACACGCTTTTAATAAGTCTGGGCGCCATCTTCAATTTTTAATGAATGGCGTCATTCGCGGAAAGATTTCAGCTGCCATCATTGATTTGTGACTCGCTTTTTCTCTAGGTGCAGAAGCATACAGTCGTCTGTTCCCTTCATTTTAGGGATGAGGACTTAGAGTATTCTAGTTTCAGTTGTAGGTGGTTTGTGAACACTGGCAGCCTTCCCTCTGTGTTCACATGCTGGGAACACAAGCCATACCTAATCCCTAAGGTTCAAAATAAGAGAAAGCTGAACAAGAATCTAAACTTTAGACTTAAACCTTCATGGCCTCTGGCATTACATGCTGCTGATAAAAGTTTGTTAGTTAAGCAATCATTGACTTCCTAAATGGCTCATCAAACTTTACTCGCTGTACAATAAAGCCTTTCTGGAAAAATACTCCAAAATCACACCACTTTCATCCCGTCATCTGGCCTTGTACTTGATAGTAATAAGGGTGATCCTTTTTAAGCTCAGGCCTACCATTAACTAGTTGGCAATAAAAACTTGGGTCTGCACATGCCCCCTCAGGTGTCAGGTGTCTTAATGAATAGGGGCATTTGATTTCTACCAAACCAAAACCAAATATTTTATCTATCACCTTTCTGTCTGGTGAAGCAGCCAACCATGGCATTGTGCTGGACACGACAAAACCACACTCTAAGACCTGAACATCATGTCCAATACCTGTCATGTATTCAGCATACTTATTTGCTGCTTTAGCCTCATTTGAAATCCCGTACCTTATAGCAGGCACATTAGAAAGATCCTTTGGTGACAGCAAATTTTTTGAACAAACTTTGTTTGAGATATGTTAAGCTTTCGGTTGCAAACAAGTCCAAAATTACTACTAGTTAACCTTAGTCTTCTACTTTGAAACCAGAACGGGTTGTTGCTTTGACCTCTAGTTTCTCGTTCAATCAAAGATGGATTAGGGACTTTCAGATGACTAATAAACCGGTCCTCCTGATAAGAAAGGGGCATTTGCAATCCCACCCCAGTAGTTTCAATGGGGAGGTCAGGAAAGTAGTCACCAACAGCTCTGGGTCTTTGCAAGACTGGAAAATTTGAAGTTTGCTTCTATTAGGGAAAGCTGGTAGCTTAAAACACTACCACATGGAACCTTGTGTCCATTTAATTTAGTTGGAATCGTTGCAGGTTTTTGTTCAAACACAGTACAGAATCCTAAAGAGGGATTAATGCTTTTTAAGTGAATGAAATAAATTATTTCCCCCCTCATTATTTTGGACCGATGGTTGTCTGGCTTCATACAAAGTACATTTTAAAACCTCTGAGCTCTTCTCCCTGTATTTAGGATTGATCACATTATACCCCATAATAGGTTCAGGGTTTATACCCTGGGTTCTTGGTTAGTGCCACTGTTGGGGGTTGTCTGTCCATGTTCCAGTTCTTGGGAATTCAGGGGCCTTTAATTTAATGACATGGTCAACCAGGTATAATAAGCCTATGGTGTGATAACAATACCCACTTGCACCTGCTGGACAACAACACTTAGCCCGCTTAACATCTCTAGTAGTTAACAGTATCATTGTAGAATTATGAGGCCTTTCATTCTTCTTTTGTGATCTAAAGCACTTCCCTTTAACCTGGATTTCATTTTCTTTAAGCTTACATAAGACACCATGACAATAATTTTCATAGAAAAACTTGTATCCCTTTTCGAGGGGACTTTCAACATAGCTTTTTGCTTCTCTTCCGGATTTTTTGACATGTTCAACAATGTTAAGGTAGGAAAAACGCTTGGGAAGAACTGATGTATCACTACTCCAGCTCTCTTCAGTGTCTACATCTGTATCTGTAACAAGTGCTTCGGGCTCTTGGCTTTCTGGATTTCTAAGCTGCTCCTCCCCAGAACAAAATCTGCATCTTGCTTTTTTTGCACATGTGTATGCTCTCCCGGGATTGGGGTCGATCAGAATAAAATCTTTATCCAAGTTCTGTCTTACCCTAAAAGCGATACATAAATACTTAAACACTGATGATCGAAAACAGAAACATTCAATGGAGATAGTATTATAGTAGTGATTGGTGCAATCAAACTTAAAAACCTCCAAGAGAGGTCATATCAGTAATAAGCTTTATTATCACATTAATGTTATCGTTTTTGTTTGACAAAAACGCCGCATAAACAATCAAAAACAAAAACTACTTAGTCTATAATAAAAGTTTACCTTCAGAGAAGTTCAGCTCTTGTTTCTGTTGACTTATAACGTAAGCCACAGCTTTAATTCGCTTTTTTTGCATTTTTCTAAATTGGCCCTCGATATCATTGATCCTGGAATATCCTCGGAAGAAAGCTGAAATGAATTCAAAAACACCAACTTAACTTTTGTCTCGCCACTAAAGACATTTGTGTTTACAAAAGTACACATGATTTAAAGGGAAAACTCACCTCACTACATGTACAAACTGCGGGTTCATTGTGAGTAGCCATGTTGGCCACGTGGAAATCTTTCCGCAAATGACGTCATTAATTAAAAATTCAAGGTGGCGCCCAGACTTATTAAAAGCGTGTATAAACCTTTTCATTTTTTTTAGAGGAGTATGCCAAACAGGAAAGTCGTTCTTCATTTTCTACCATTATGTACTGTGTTATACATGATGATAGGATAGGTTGAAAGTTTTTATGGAGTACCCATTCAAAATACTGGTCAAACAAGACAAGCATGTTATTCTCAGGAAATGTCAATTTTCTGCTTACAACTGTAATACAAGTGGTGACATATCGAGGGACCATAACACAAAAATATCTAATATTAGTGAAGACATAGTGTGTGAAATCAGGCATTTATGTTATTATTTTATGACTTTCCAGTTGGAAACCCCTCTTCATACCGTCATCTATTGTTCTTCTTTCCAATGAGACTTTCCCAGAAATCTAGTCAAGTACTTCATAAATGTGATTGCTGGAATGAGTAGTCTAATCACATGATTATATATATTTTCTTTACATTTAGATAACAGCCACTCTCAAATTGCCATTCAAGGTAAATTCAAGCTCTTGGCAAAGTTTTATAGTTTGATAAGCCCATTTTGATTTTCAAGTACGTTTGTACCAATAGAGTTACAGGAAGTAATGCCATCCACTCAAGTCAATTTACTTAGAGAAAATGTTTGATTTTCTTTTTCCCTTCAGTGTCAGAAGACATGGTGGCCTTGCCCACCTCAGTAACAATCATTGATAAGTTAACTACAGGTGTAGCTGGCTAAAAATTATGTTGTTCAGTAATTGTTTATTTGAGAGATACCTAGAATGTGGCTCATTTTAACCTTACATAATAGATGCAATTAGCAACAACATCACTATTATTAAAGTGCAGTGGCATAAGTTATTTTGTGCATAACAAATGAATTATGAGGATCTGGCTATTTTTTGATGACATATGACCGTTTTTTTATTTTACTACAAGGTCCTGAGGTTGGGGATGTTAACCCATTGTTAATACAACCTTCTAGCGAAACCTTAGCTGGTAAGAACAATAGTTTTTTAAGTCTTATATTAATCTGCAGTCCTCTACTATAAGTATGACCTTCTCTAATAAGCCTTCTGTTCAGTCGACTGAATTGCAGACTTGGTCTGTACACTTTTCACGACCACAACGCTATCAGTTAGCTTAATAACAGACACAGGACAAACGCTTACATTTTGGTGTCTTTTGTGAAAAATTAAAGCTCGCCAAAAGGTCTGTTTGATCTTTAATTGACTTTAATTATAACATTAAATATTCAAAATGTAGAATGTACCTTTGTTATACCTTTAATTGACGTTTTGATTAAATTAAAGGCTACTAACCTTTTGGTCTTGTTTTATGACCTTTAATTTACCCCAAAATGAGCTCTTGAGATTTAGTACCTTTAATTTCAAATTAAAGTAACCTAAAACAGTTTAAAATCTTTAAATAAACTTTAGTTTTAACTGTAAAGTTTGTAAAGGTAATTCAGGACGGCCTCTGTCATTTTGAACTTTAAGCGACATTTAATTGACCTTTAGGGTCAAGACACCGCAGGATCTCAGATATAGTCGAGTTATACACATCGTCTCTAGAGTTCAATACTTATAATTTATTTTATTCGATCGCAAGAGGCGTGTTACATACGCATGTCGTAGCTACATACATTCACTCTGGATCTGACAGAATTTTGAGTTTGCGTAGAAATCATGGAACGAGAAGAAATAAGTAAAGGGTATGTCTATTGCTCTCACTGTGACAACGTGGTATCACGTTCGACCTGCAAGAGGCACGAAAGGAAAAGATATTCATTGGACGCAAAGACTGATCACGCTACATCTTCACGAAATAATGAATGTGAGTACACAACAGCGCCAGCAATTAATTAAGCTTTTATGCAATTATAATTAATGTGTGTAGGTACGTAGTCACTCAAATGAGCCATGCTTTATCACTTCTATTTCAATACAGTTGTCCTTGAAGAATCCTCTGTTGTTCAGGAATTATCTTGGAACGATTTAACCATCAGAAATAATAAGGGCGTGCCATCACCAGACAGTCAAGGTGAGCATAAAATAAAAATGCACCTCTCTGGTGACCTCTAAATAGACTATTTAATTTGTGCGAACCAGTAATCATACTTGACATATATAAAATATGTTTGACAAATATAAATGAGGCATTTGGTGGGTTCACACTAGGCACTAAGTCTGTCTTAGCCTGAGTCAAGCCAAGTCACCCTAAGTCCGCTTAAGCGTTCAGACATATCTAGAAGACAAATTGTTTCCGAGCAAAGCTGTCATCATTAACGATAAAAATAACAGATAAGGTAACTAACATCATAAATGTGGTGAGGTAGTCACAATCCATTTTAGCGAAGAAGTTGAGATCAAAATGAGACCGAGAAGCCGTAAAATCGCTGTAATTGCGACTGTTGTCTGTTTATTAAATTTACAAAGGTTGATCAGCCAAATAACCTTACAAAATCTTATGTTTCCGTGCTTCAGATCTGTTGGGAAATCGGCGAGGAATATCATAAGAAAAGAAAATGACACTTAGGTAGGCCAATAAAAAAAGTGATCAAGCAACGCAACTTACGTCGCATAAGGTGAAAAGTCGGTAGCGTAATTGCCTCCTAACGTTTCGTCCTCTCGGCGATGCATCCTCGGTTAATTTTGTTCACACCTGTCATTTTCACTAAGTCGACTTAAGAGATTATTAAGTCAGACTTAGTGGTCTAATGTGAACCCAACAATTGTTGTCCTTACCGACTTCAGCAAAAAACCGCAAAAGAGACAGACTTATGTTAACTTTCAGAATTTTGCCTTCAAGAACCCTCTCTTGCCGATGCGGCATCTTCAAAAGAATTAACATCTCCAGAAGACGAAAAGGTGAGGTGTTTTGGAGGTCGAGCATACATTTAACAATAGAAATGTACCGGTAATAGATGTAATAAAAGAAACTATATGCTATTACGAAGGTATCGTTATGCATGGCCCCGCTTACCATTACTCCAGCATTTTATATTATGAACGGTTTAAGTGAAGTTTGAGTGCTCAGCGATTCCCGAAATTATAGCATTCAAAGTGTAGTTTGATTTTTTTTTAGACTTCGGAAATTGGTCATGAAGTCTTTGTTTATTTTTAACTGAAGTAGAGGATGTGAACGATATTATGGTTGGATTATGTTTCAGTGGAAATGAATAAGAAAAAGTGGATGTGAATATTTCAGGAAATTGAAAATAACTTATAGCTTTGTGCGCAGCAACCTGCGCTTTTCTTTGTCGTGTAGACGCCTGGAACCCTGGACGCTTATTAATTAAGTTCGGCGAACTAATTTAATTCAACACCCAATGCGCGTAAAAGAAAACTGTTGAAAGCATATACATAACTGGGACTGACTTAAAGGAGAAAAATGTTCTTGCCGGTCGGTGTTTCTGTAGTCAAAGCTTAAAAACAACAAAAGCTAAAGAAGAAAGAGGCTTTCCTCCTGCGAAGGGCACATTCTCTCGGGTCTCTTTTTTGGGATGCCGCGGGGAGTGTACAAAAACACTATTAAAAGCGATGTTTTCGATTGATGTTTTTTAATAACTATGGTTCTTTTTCTTTATTTTAATAGTCAGATGATGATCCCATGCAAAACGAGTTTCACTCTGAAAGTGACACCGACAGTGACAGCTGCACAAGAGAAAAGTGTAAAAGTGGTGACGAAAAGTCATCTTCCTCCGAGTCAGAATCAGAAGAAGTCTGGAGCGGAGTGTTGCCTGAGATGCTGTCCAGAGACATTGAAAATATACCAGCGTTACCCGAAGCGCAACGCCAGAAAACAGCCCTTCAAAAAGTAAATTCGCTGGTTTTCTGGCTCCTTTATTTTCTCCTACTCTGGCAAGCGACATGCCATTTAAGTGATAATGGCCTGGTCTGGCTTCTAAAATTCCTTATCTCATGGCTCAAAGTTCTTGCCGTTGAAATCTCCAGTGAGGTATTCGAGAATGTGCTTTTAATCTTCCCTGGGTCGTTGTACCTCGTAAGACAATTTCTAAATTTGGACAGGGACGACTTTAACAAGTTTGTTGTGTGTCCCAAATGCACAAAACTTTATAAATATGACTCTTGCCTTGAGATGGTTAACGGCCGGCAAGTAGCAAAAAAGTGTACTAACACTTATTACTTAAGAAGAAGGAAGATGGTTTGCAACGCTTCTATGGTAACAAGAGTGACTCTTCAGAATGGAAGGACTTGCTTCTACCCGATTAGTTACTATTGCGCCAGAAGCATTATCGAGGAGTTAGAAAAATTTCTACTTCGGGAAAACTTCGCTTCGAATTGCAAGTTATGGAGAAACAGGGAAATGAGAGGAGGCTTACTTGCCGACGTCTATGACGGAAATTTGTGGATGGAATTTCAAACTGTGAATGGAACGCCATTTCTGCAGAAACCACGAAATTATGGATTCATGTTAAACTTTGATTTTTTTCAACCCATGAAACACCGCAAAGATTACTCTGTTGGAGTGTTTTATTTAGCCGTTTTAAATTTGCCTAGAGCTGAAAGGTTCAGATGGGAGAATATCATTGTTCTAGGCATTGTTCCCTCTCTTGACAGGGAACCTAAGGACTTGAACCAGTTTTTAGAGCCTGTAGTAGATGAACTGAAAGCACTGTGGAAAGGAGTTCGTTTAAGATCTTGTCTCAGTAGATTCGCATTAACGTTTCGTGCAGCAGTTATTAGCATTTCTTCTGATGTTCCGGCCACAAGAAAAATCTGTGGATTCAAGAGCCATTCGGCGTTAGTTGGGTGCTCTCGCTGCTTAAAGAAATTTCCCGGCGGCTTTGGGGAAAAAAGAGATTATTTGGGATTCGATAGAAACTCTTGGAGTCCCCGTACCAATGAAGACCATCGGCGCCAAGCAACAAAAATTTCCAGGAGCAAAACAAAGGCAGAGCGGAAGTCAATAGGGCAGAGTAGTGGCATCAGCCACTACAGTGTCTTACTGGAACTCGAATATTTGGATATTATAAGATTCTGCACCGTAGATCCGATGCACAACCTCTTTCTAGGTACGTCAAAGAAAATGTTCCAGCTGTGGAATGATTTGAAATTATTTTCCACGGGCCAGCTCAAAGAAATTGAAGAGAGGATAAACTCCATAGAGGTTCCCAGTGATATCGGTCGACTGCCTATGTGAATATCCAGCAATTCCGGTTCGTACATGGCAGAACAATGGAAAAATTGGACAGTCATTTATTCAATTTACTGCCTTAAAGGTATTTTACCAGACGAGCATTTAAAATGCTGGCAAACGTTTGTGCTAGCATGCAAATACCTATGCCAATCCGTGATTTCTGGAACTGACTTGGACATAGCTGACGGGACTCAAGTTCTGCAAGTCAGTAGAGACTCTGTACGGAAAACATGTGATCACACCCAATATGCACTTACATAATCATCTCAAAGAGGTCATACTCGACCACGGACCTATAACTAGCTTTTGGTGCTTCAGTTTCGAACGCTTTAATGGCATAATGGGCAGCACTACAACCAACAAGAGATCGGTTGAGTTGCAACTCATGAGAAAGCTCTTGATATCAAGGCAATTAAAAGATATGAAGTTACCAGACAAGTACAAAATTGAATTTTTGGGTTTATGTTCACCTTCGGGTATGTCGGACAGTGATGTTACAGAAGAAGTTCACCCTCACAATTGGTGCGTCACACACGAGTTTCGAAATATTGCAACAAAGGCACCTCTTAATGGTATAAACTGGAGAAATGATTCCGGGGTTACCCGACCTTCCAGTTATAAACTGGTTCATTTGGATGTGGATGACGCGACATTGTTGAAACAAGTTTATAAAATCCAGTACCCAGGAAGGGAGATTGAAATAGCCAATCTGGCAGAAGGTATACAGAAATTTGGAACAATAAAAATTTGGTCAACTACATATGGATCACAAATGCAGCCCAGACAAATTCGGTCTAGCAAGATTTTAGCGTCCTGGGAGGCAGACAATGGAGAAGTCCTTCAGGACAGATTTTTGTTGTCTGCCGGGATTGTACGCTACTATTTCAAGCATTCTATTCAGCTGGGGGATGAACATCTCGCACACCACTTTGCCTGCATGAAATGGTATATACCACACAAACAATCTACCAGTCTATATGGCAACCCAATTAGAGTCTGTAAAAACAAATTCCATCGAGGAGGACCCTCGTCGTTTATGCCAGTCCAAAGGATCTTTTCAAGATTTGCCTCGGCTGAACTGGAGTTTGAGGGACAAAAACAAGTTGTGGTGGCTCCCATCAACAGGAATGTTCACTTATAATAAAATTTAAAGGGACTGTGCAAAAATACAGATATGTAAGCTCGCATGAAAAATCTAGAACAAATCCAGATGGCGACCAGCCATTTACTAGCTAATTTTCTTGAATTGGAGTGGCCAATCAAAGGACACAGAAACACTTTAATTTCCAGAAAACAGAAATTGTTTCATAGGCAAAAGTTCATTTATGAAAGGTGTATTCCGGCAGGATACTAATTTAATGTGGATCACAAGTGCAATCACTAATCAGTGACAACAATGATTAATCAATGACTAAAAATTTTGTGGACCTTTGGTTGGTCCCAAATACATGTATTACAAATTGAGTATTGGCAATATTGAATGAGTAATCAACTGATCATTCACTGATTACACATTCACTATCCACTAATTACATTGATCAGTCGCTGATTAGTTCTGCATGGTACCTTGCATCACTTTTATGTCAGTTTGAACTTCAGTGTAAGGAAAAGTTCATATTTCACAACAATTTAATATTAATGACAAAAACATGTAAAGTACAGCTGTAGGTACGCCTCAGCTTTCCTTTATGTCACTGTAAAGAAAAAAGAAAAACAAGTCTCACATTAATTAATTATAAACCATGCATTGGGAAAGAGACTTTTAAATGTTCCAAAAATTTCCATAGTGGATCAGAAGAGGTCCTTGCCTACCCACACAGAAAACTTTTATATCTGATTGGGACAATTTTTTCCAATAATATTGGTTTTAGTGTAGTGACAGAACTTTTCAAAGATAATGAACTATTTAAAAGAGGTCAAGTAAGGGTCAATAAAACATGACTCACTGCAGCGGGTATAAAGTACAGGTCACATTCCACAGGTCAACATACAGATAGTAGCTTTTGTGATGCATGCTACAGATAAAAAAACAAGGCCAAATTGTGTCTCCTAGCCCTAATCAATACCCAAAGATATTTTCTGTCCCTATATGAGACCAGAAGACTTAAAGGTAGTTCAAAGTATGAAGAGCATAAAAGGGTGACACGCAAGAGTGGCCGCCAAAGAGAGGTAATTATGTATTAATAACAGACCAAAAAATCAAGATAATAGTAATAGTAACTTAATAACTTCTAGAGCGCTATTTACATTCAATGATCAACAGTGCTTTACAACTTAAATACTACAGTAAAATTCAGATTTGTAAAACTAATTATATGCATATTAATAAAATAGAATATTTATAATAACAATAATTAACTTACATAAGTAATACTAATAAGAGTGAATGTCAAACAGGATATGTTTTAAAAGCTACACGAAATAAATAAGTTTTCGGCTAACATTTAAAAATAGCTTATGACTGAATATCACGTAATTCAGCCAGCAAACTATTCCATAAGTATGGAGCAGCAGCAGAGAAAGAACTATCACCTAACTAATGTGAAAAACATTTTCCCTTTAGGAGGGTCTGACAATAAACTTTGATATGAGCCAAGATTATATATAAATATAGATCTAGGCTTAATGTTAATTAATTCTATGACATACTTGTGTGCAAATCCATGAATAGCTTGAAATGTTAAAATTAAGATCTTAAAATGAATACCTATGTTGTACTGGTAACCAATGAAGTTCATAAAGCACGGGAAAAATATGCGAGTACTTTCTTAATAATAATCCTCTTTTGTTTAACTATTACAGAATGCAGTCTCTTGTTTGCTTTTTGATACACACCATTGGAAATTGCCTTTAGATTAAAAAGATAAATGATTGTCTTCTATGTATGGGCTGAATAATGTGATACTAATTAGATAAATACTATATATAACTCAAGTGAAAGTGCCTTATGAACCATGTACAATTCAGTGTTGCATTGCCTACAAGTGGTAATAAATTCTGGCACATTGATCACCTACTCAATCATACTTCAATTCTTTTTTATGTTCAGAAGTTAACAAGGCGAACATCTACTCTTGAGCTGGTCAAGTGGACTGATCACCATGAAAAGGGAAGGGCAGCAGAGGTCCTCGTCATGGATGCCATGAGTAGTGAGGACAGCTGCTATGAAGATGATGAAAATGGCAATGCTAAGGTTGCCAAGTATGCAGTAAGGAAACTCCCTTGGGAAAGTAGGGCAATGAAAAAAATTAAGAAAAAACTGGATAAAGCATACAGGAAGAGGCTATCCAAGAGGGCAACGGAGAGGATTGTGGACAGAATAGAAGCAGAGGAACTGTCAGAACGTCAGCCTCCAAATGAATTTCCTGAGTGGGCCCTAAATGATATAGAAAGCTAACCGTACATTTTCAACAGGACCCACACAGGCAGTGGTGTCAACCCTTTCATTCTATTAAATTAAGTTAAATACCGTTTTTCCATTTTAATAGTATGATATAGTGAAACCCTGCTCTGTAAACACTGGCAACAAAAATAGTAATTGTTTACATGGTTCTGTTTTAATGAACTGGCTAGGTTAAAGAAAAATAATATTAAAAAAATCACCATCAGTGAAGGTGGTCATTATATTCTGCACAGGTAATTCACTATCTTAAGCTTCCAGCTGAGCACTTTCAAAGAATAATATGAGGAAACAAACCCTTTTGGCACACACATGCTGAGTTTTAACTTTTACTTTCAATGAAACTACCAGTTAATTACCACAATTAATTTAACTACATTGTCAAAAAAGATGATCAAGCCCACAGTGTATGTTATGTATATTAAAGACATTTCTGGGCCTCAACTCCCGAGATTTCAAGGCCCTTGGAATGATCATGAGACCTGTGGCTACCAGTAGTACAATACCTTAAACATATCTAAAGTTAAGTTAAGTTATCCAACTGACCCTTGGATATATTTTTTTAAAATATGGAATTTGCAATAAATTTTAGGTCTTGTGCATGTAGGCCTTAATTTCATATTATATTCCAATGAATGAAAATATTTACATCTATACACATCATTTTGATTAGAAAATATGATTACCGGTAACTATTTATCAATGGACTATGCTATAATTTATAATCTTTACTCAGATTACAATGAAGTATATGTACAGTGTTCTGTTTTATTTAACAATTGTTCACCGTGGAGGCAAATAGTTGTGGACATTTACCGAGCGGCAATGTGGCGACGTAAATATGCACCAGTTACTCTGACACTGAGGTGAATAATACTGTTTTAGTGTATACCACACAAGCTGGATAACTAGCGTACCAAAAATTACTTTAAACCAAAGTGAAACGTTAAGCCATTTTGTTCCTCCTCAGCTACATGAAGGTGAGTAGTAGTTTGCTAATCAGAATCACCTCCGGGTTAACCAATAAGAATGCGCAAAAAGCAACAATGATTCACTTGTTTGGTATATACTAAAATGTGTCATTATAAATAACCTTTAGATCTTTCCTATCAGATTGCAAACTTATAATAAATTAGAAAAGAGATTTATGTAGCCTTTTTTAATTCCTTGTCCTTGGTCTATTCCATAAAAAATGTTCATCAATTAATTTACTCCTTGTTGATAAAAGAAACAAATAATTTAATACATGGGTATTGTACATGACCGACAAGTATCAAAGAAACAATAAACAGTCTGGTTTTAAAATGGAGTTTGTATGTGTTTCACTGTGTTTATAATTTTTTCCTTCACAAGAACCAGTCATGGATTTCAGAGAACCGCAGTGTTAATCACCTTTCAGTAATCTTATTGCTCAAAATAATATAGATTCTAGGGGAGAGAATGCCTTCTTATTTCAATTCTAGAAACCTTGATAAAAGGTGCTGAAACGCCTGTCATTTAAAATTAAGCAATTTGCAAATTAATAAAGTTCAGGGAAGAGTAAAGGCAACACAAATGAAGGTTTTTTAAACCTCTTATGGTATATTGAAGAAGACTTAAAGGCAAATTAAAGATGAATTATTGAGCCCCTTATAGTACATTAAAGAAAAATTAAAGGCAATCTACAACAGATGACGTTTTACTCATGGGACATTAAAGTAGAATTAAAGGCAAATTAAAGATTCACCACTGAAACATTTTCAAAAATTAAAGTTACACTAAAGGTGGCATTAAAGAAGTTTTAAATGTAAGTTTAAGACAATTTAGGAGTTCTCTTTAAAGTCTATGAAATGAACCTTTAAGTTGTCTTTCGACTCAAATTAAAGCTGTTATGAAATGGTTCATAAAGTAGGCTTTAATTCACACACAAAAGACAATTAAAGGTTCATTTCAGGTCTTTAGTAGAGACATTAAATATAAATTAAATATATCATTTCTGTAACTTTAAGTTAGCTTTAAAATGAATTAAAGCGATTATTTCATCCTGTGAGAAGTATGTCGTCACATTAAAACAACGGAAATCCCCTTTCTTTGAGTAGTTAATAAAACAGAAAACTACATTAAATAAGTGGTGAAATACCTTTTCATGTAATCCATTGTTGGACAGAATTGTCACACAGTATTCACGAGTCCAACCCATTCACCGACCATGTTCAGTTCTAAAGTAATGATGAGTGGTCAATCAGTCTCTTCGTTTGAGCAGCCACAAGACATTGTGAATGATCTTCATGTACTTTTATCTCTTTGCAACACTGTATCAAAAAAAGTAAAATAACCATGAATATATTGTATTTTTGCAATCTACTTTGATTTTTGTACAACTGCAACCTCTTTAAAGCAATCACCTGGCTATTTCTTAATGTTGATCACTTAGTATAAGCTTAGGGGGCCAGTCTGACTATCTTTTATTCATTTCATATTGCAGCTTTCTCTTCAGTGCAACCAGAGATGTTCTTGGCATGGGTTAATGAGGTTTTTGGATGGCAACATCCCATCATTTATACCGCACCATATCCTTTGGTAAGTCTATTGTGGTGTACTTAACATATTACTGGAATTTACAAATCCTGATGGTAGAGGGTTACCCCTTTCACCTACTAAATAATATTATAGAGCTATCAAATACACGTGTACACCTGCTACCCTTCTCAGCAACGTAATTACAATATTATGATCAGACAATACCCTAGGGTGTACGCTAGATGCCCCTCTGGTGGTACTCTTAATTTATAAGGAATCTTTCCTGGCCTAAATCTGTGGTCCCTTGTCAGTTTCCACTGTCTCAGCTCAGTCTTACAAAATAGTACATGTGTGATACTTTTGGATGGATTGTTCAACAAGCTGCACAGCAGATGGTGCCGTTAGTCCTGTATTTTGCTGAATTTTCTTCCCCGGAAATCCATCAGTAAGATTTCTGTAGGTATGTACATGTACATGGAACTTCTTCATAAGAGAAAACTAATACTTGTAGTAGACAAGTGTTTTGTAGAGTGAGTGTCTGGCCCAGAAGGGAAAGCAAGCTGGTTTGCAGTCATAACTGCAGAATTTGCTCTAAAAGGAAATGCATTAAAAAGTATTGATAAAAGACTATGTTAGAAACTAACATTTACCAACCTATATGTACTAATATGCTTATTGTCAGAATTTTTCAGACATCGTTCAAATAAGAAAATATGGAATCATACCATGAATCCCATAAACCAAAATTGACATGAACTGAACTGTTTCTAGACAGTTACTCATCTAAATCAATTGAACTAAAACACAAAAGCTGAAAATTTCCTTTCTTTTTAGGAATATCCTGACTGACCCTGACGTGGTTCGTATATGCAACAACATCTTCTCCTGGGCAATAGGCAATTGCCCAGAAAGCCTTGAAAGTAAGTTAAAAGACGAGAGAACAATTTCCAGTTGCTAACAGATAAAAAAATCAATAAGCAATCGCAGTCCACAAACACGGTTAGATGATACGATATCTTAGTTTTTAAATATTTTAGTTTTGTAAAATACCCAGTACAAGTAGCATCAAAACTGATTATTGTGTCCCTATAATAAGGTTCAGAACTCATCTCCCTTCCTTTTTTTAACATAAACAGTCCAAAGAGCACTTCTTCAAGGCCATCAAAGAGCACCAGTGCTTGTTGCCATCAACCATGATGCTTTTGGAAGGCAAATGACCCTTCGTACCCTTACCGATTGTAAATGTCAATTCTACAATTGTTGTTACTTTTTGTAATTCTATAACAACTTTTTAATGATTTTTTCTTGTTACGAGTTACCATTGTTGATTATTGGTATTATTGCCTGTGAGTAATTTTCAAAGTGCACTCTTGTAAAAAAAACATAGTCATGGTTAAATGGTTCAATGTCAGCATATACGAGGAAGAAGAGAGTATGTCTCATGACGGAACTAATTTTCATTGGTGCTATTTCTAATAACAACAGGAAGGCTATTAGACTGCTGTGCAGCACCATCCTGAAAGCTGCAATTCCCTAGTAGAGCAACTAATCATTTTGCAATGTTAGAATGTAGTTAATCTTCGAAAATGTCTCTTTCCTTCATTAACCAACCTACATTTTCTACATCATTTATGTTTCTAACATGACACCCAGCGACAAAACTACAGTCTCAGTCAAAATGGTTGGGACACTTTGGGGTCTCCTTGTCCCCTCAATGTTGGTGTACAAGATTTGGTGACCGAACCGCGACAAACTTTGAGAGGGACGAGGGGAGCACGAGAAGGGAAAAAACAGCGTTTGGTTAAAGTGTCCCAACTATTTTTGTCTGAGACTGTGTCGGGGAGGAATTTGAAGGCATGATGACAGATACGGAGGTTAATCTGTAGGTCGGTCACAAGCGACGGGCTTTTGGTTTGTTGGGCGTCCACTGTGTTTCGCAAATGTTTCTATAGCAGTGAACTAAGTTATTTGGGCATAACAACATAACAAAAAGAAAGACCAGTCCGCAGAAATTTCTTGGGCAGAGTAGAGTATTGGAAAATAAAAGGAACTGAGTGTGCATTAAACCGTACACAAATAGCTTTCTAGTGGCCGATTGCTAGCGTGACAATATGTCACGTGCATACTATCTACGTAAGATTCAGGGTTTTCATGTATGGAGAGGCGCTTGAATGTGCCACATTTCTAGACAAAATGTGTAGAAAATAATAGAGAAGGCCTCTTTGCCAAGAAAGAGTGCAGGAACAAGGCTTAAGGGACGCCTTTATAACTTAAGGGCAAGAGGCGAAAGACAGCTGAAAGAGTGATAAAGCGATTTCGAGGGAAAGGGGGAAACTTTTCCTCCAGTTTGGAGGAAAATGCAACAAGCCAGGATTATTCCCAAGATGTATCAGCCAGAACAGTATCCCCCTTTCTAAATTTCTAAAGATACTATTGACTACAAGCGCGTAAAAAGGGTGTCCAACAATAGTCTAACTGTTTGGTCTGACGCCAAAAAG